ATTTCTCCCAAACACTGTTTTAAGGCTACAGGCAATCTAATCACCTGATTTAGAAAATGAACATTGGGCATACAAATGGCAGTCTATTTTTTTGAGGCGGCAGTGCCACAGTAAAATTCAAATTAGACTTGGCCAATATTATTGAAGCATATCACTCGATCTTGCAGTCTGGGTAGATTCCGCATTACACTCTCGCAATGGCGTCATCTGTATCTGCAGCATGACGGACCAAGACGGAGAGCAAAAAACTAATTCGATGCAAGCATTTCTGCTAACTCATTGCAAATGCGACACTCGAACTCAAATCGTCAAAAATTGCACCGTATAAAGTTGCAGGCAACATTCGCGCTGCTGTGGCAGCCCAGCTGGCTGGTTCGATTTACAAGTATGCGAAAGTGATCGATTTTAAAGCAGGCGTGGCTCGCCGCATTTAAAATGCGCTTTGCAAGCCTTGCGCCACACTGTGCCGTGGTTGTCTTTGTCGCTTTGGTTGTCGTTGGCAGAAATGTCGACGTCGCGTGGTCTAGTTGCTGCAACTAGCAGCAAGATTTGAAATAGCTTGTATCTCTGTATGTATGTTGGTGAGTGTTGTGTCTACATCTTATGCAATATTCTCAGTTTGACCCACTTTTCGTGCTAGTTGTGTTTTACTTTTTGTTGTGGTCGAAGTTGGCGTTGCTCGGCAACATTCACTGTGACCAAAAACAATTTAATCGTAGCACGTTTGAGTGTATATTAAAGTACAATATATATATTATACATATATATATTATATATATATGGGTATCATATCTCAATAATATCTTGAATAATAACATATATTTCGTTTTGGCGAGAGTAACAAAATGTTATTTTATAACAAATATAAAAGACACACAAGGAATGTACGTACTTTTTACTCATGAGAAAATATACAATTCTGAAAACTACAATAACTACAGTATTTTGAGTATGTTTAAATGCTGTGGCCAACAGAAGTAAGAACTGCATGTTTTCTCAAATCAAATGCCACAAGTTTCATATTGCATATCACAGTAAAGAGACTAAGAGGAGCCGTGATCATCCCACTTACCATTGCTTCCCCATGTGATGTGTGCTAAATATTAAAAGTTCTTCACCAACGTTTGTTGAGACATACAGATGGCTGTCCTTTTCATCTTGAGCAATCTAATGGATCGACATGACAACGTCAAGGTTATAAACAAGTGCGGCTGTACATACAGGTGCTTCTCTTAAACTTTTCCTAAATATCACTTTACTCCATGGTATTTTTAAATTAAAAACAAGAACAAGAATTTTATTTTGAAAGGCTTAATAAAAAGCGTTTAAGCACGTTGAAGTGCTTTTGATCATAAAGCTTTCCCTATGGTAAACCGTTGTTAAATTAGCGATTTTGATAAATTGATGATAAAATAGACAAACAAAAAATGTATATGTGGCAATTCAATACTAGCCAGGAGCCTTGTTATATAACTACCAAAAACTTGTACGGCTCTAGTGCAGCCAATGTTTTGAGAGGGACTCACAGCTGACCGTAGCAACTGTAGTAATAAGTCGAAAACCAGGCGAGTGTTGCATAGTTGTGTATTTCCTGTTTGTGGTGCATAAAATAGTGGGTTCCAATATACTCTCACTTTTGCGGTTGGCACATACTATTGCATATCAGTGTCATTTTCAGGTATCGAAACGAAAGGCAACTGTACTGTACTATTTTTGCTTTAAGGCATGGCTGGTAGCTTTTAGGCACTTTTTCGAATATTCTTGTAACGATTCCACACGTCAGACAGATTTTAGATGTTTATTGGCACCTAATTAAAATAAAGCAAAAAAAGCTCAAATCACACGATAACACAATTAATTGGTTGAATATATATTTAAGCTGAATATTTATTGCGCTTATATTAAACCATTATAGGATTTTTAGATAATTGAATCTGCTACCGAAATACAAACATAATAATAAACTATATATAACAGTTAGTCATCAGCACAATTTATCAATTTTGAGCTTCTTAAGCTTATAATATGTGTGAAGGCATTTATTGTAGCCTTGCACCCAGGAAGTGACTGTAACGTTGGTATATTAGAAAGGTAAATCCCAACTGCCGGTCACAAATTTCCTGCGCACATGCAAAGTAACCGTTGGTCAGCTCTCAAATGCTGGTAACAAAAGAAAAAGCAACAGCGTAAACTGTAGCAAAACTTTGGTTACCCGCCGAAATTGTGCCTTCAGGTCTCTGATACGCCTTCTCGTTGAATTGTGCAATCGATTAAAAACTGAAAGCTGACCAATGGTTGTTCTCCATTTATAAAGCGTGCGTTTAATTGTGAACCGCATCTAGCGAGTAAGTCGATTTTAGAAAAAAATTAGCTGGCAGGCGATTTCATAATTAATATGTAATTCTTAGTCAAACTATTTTGCACTACCAAATAACAGCAATCAGCGACAAATTGAAATAGGACTTATAAAAAGCATTAATATATTGCTGTGCAGAATCCACTGCAGTTAATAATGTGAAGCTCCTTAATTTAAAAGTATTATTCGAAATAGAATGTCAATATCAGCTAAGTGCTAGGTGTTTATAGCATTGGTGTATTTTATTTGTTGGGATAAGGCTGTGGCCTTGTTTTGAACGTTTTAAATTAAACTCGGAAGTTAATGACCTAAATAACAAAATTAGTGCCCGGAAGCCGTAAGTTCGATGTATTAAAGCTACATAAATTCGCGCAAATTGACAGAAAAGCGTATCAATAGATATAATGTACAATTCAAATTGTCCGAGTATTTATTGGGCTGCCTTTTTATGTACAGTATAGTACTTCACTTTCAATAAAGTCGCGTAATGTGCTGCTCTTATTTTTGAACAAGTAGAGCAGCAAAAAGCGAAGCAATCGACAAACGGCGAACAAACTCACGAAAAAAAAGCCAATCAGGCTTATGGCCGAATTACTGTACATTGCATAACAACCCAGCCACGCTCTAACTCTGGCTAAGCAAATCCACGTACACACTTTGTTTAGTGGAGCAGAAAGTACAAACAGCAACAATGAGTTGGTAGTTGTGTTGCCAAGTGTGTGCTGGCACTGGCTAAGACAAATGTCATCCTAGGCGATGGCGGCTTTATACTTTTGCATGGCCGATTGCCATTGGCACGTGATTAGCTTACTTTTTGCGGCACTGCCAGCCAGCTGCATATATCACTCAGATAGTCGGTCAGTGCTGCGTTTGTCAGGCGAGACTGAAAGCTACGACGCTTTTGCTCGATAATTATACGCTTTGTGGTGCGTACTGCATGATAAATAGATCTTATCTACCAGCCTTGACATGATTGCTCACATTAGAGACACAAACACATAAACAAATTAGAACACTATGGGAGGGCTGTGCCTACCTTTGAGATGCTCGTACATCTTAATCGATTATTTAATATACAGGCATCTCACTCAGAAATATACATTTAACATTTACGTGGCCTTTTTATAATTTTATTTACTTTTCCAAAAAAAAAATTGCTATATTCGGGAATTGTCCCGATGATGTCTATATGTATTTAGAAAGACGCACAATTATTGATCAACATGGTTTCAACGATTCATCTACGCCCAATTATAATAATTATGAAATGCATAGCGCGGTAATCGTGGCTTAGAAACAATTAATGGGTACAATAAAAAAGTGAATGTAAATTTGTTTGGGAAAAGGTGTCTCTATCAAGCCAAATAAATTGTATTACTTGAAAAATATAAGGTGCCTCTCGTGCCGTTTCATGGCTGGTCAAAAGTGCAACTTAACTCCGCTTAACTATAACTTGTTTTTGTTTGTAAAATGCTCACGTCGCAATTAAAGTGTAGCATTATAATGCTCAGTTGCAGTCCGGCGCTTGTGTGTATAAGACAGTGTAGGTGGGTCACAAAGCGATTGGGTAAAGGCTCTGAAGCACTGTCCCAAGAAAAACCAAGATACATATATATATACGTATAGATATATAAATAAAAAATAAAACAAGTTTGTCGACTATATAGCTATGGCTTACATTCTAAGCATAAGGTCTTAAACCAAAATCGAACAGAAATCGAAGGTTGACTTTAATCGTGTCGAAACGGACTCCTTGCATAAATTTACTATGTTGCAATTCGATTAATTTATTAGCTGTGGTTTTAGCTGTCAGTACAAAAATATTGCAAAGCAAGATATATGCTCAAAATGCTAAGCAATAAGAGCAAAAACAACTTCCGCCCCAATTACTAAATTGCGCCCATTGCTTGGGCGAGCCACTCAAATTGGTCGCACCATTGGCTTAAGGCTGTCTCAGTTATTTTGGCTTTGTTTAATATTTGGCATGGCTTTGATTGCAACGAATTGGTTTCAATTCAAATTCAGCCTCAATTGTTTGAATTGCTAATCAGTTTAAGTATTTGGATAAATTTTTTTTAACAATAAATGGTACCGTGTGGGCTTGCGACTGGTTTTCTGCGCAAAAGGTTATATTAATGGATCAGATATTATACTCTGTTCTCAAAGGAAAAGAGTATATTACTGCTCAACTATATGGAGATGTTGAGATACTTTAAAAAAGTTTTTTTTTTTTTCTTTTTTAAGCGAGTAAAAAATTTTATTTATTTTCCAAAATTACCAAAAATAATTTATGGAAAATAATGGTTAAACTAACATGTTTCTTTGGAATCTGTCATGTTTTTGAAGATTCATAAAACAATGACCTAGAAAAGAATTATAAAATTCTTTCTCTTAATAAATCCGAACGGTCAGACAGAAAATGTTGTATCAGATTTCTTTAATTTTTATTGAACAACTGATACTTAATTCTAGCCAAATCAATCGGATTAGGCAAGTAAAGCCATAGCCAACTTAGGAAAAAATCAATATTCAAATAGAACGAAAAACAACAAGTTAATTTTATCCAGATATAACAACTATGAATGTAGAATAAAATTATATATATGCAATAAATTTTAAATATCTTGCGGTATATCCTTCGCAGGGTTGACGAATGCACAGAGCAAACGTGCACCACGTGTCACTAACTCACGCAGTTTTGGCACCAATGTTAAGTCAACCAGCTCAAATGGGGTTAGCTTTGACTGTCCCGAAGAGTTTGGGTATTACCCTCATCCCACGGACTGCACACAGTATTACGTATGCGTATTCGGTGGTGCGTTACTCGAGAGCTGTACTGGAGGTCTTATGTACTCGCATGAACTGCAGACTTGTGATTGGCCCAGAAACGTGGGTTGCGAACTGGTGGATAGTGGCACGTCGGCCACCTCTACCGAAGTAGGTGGCGCCTCACGTAATAAGCCACAGCAACATGTTCCCAGCCGCATTCGCTTTGGGGCCGCCTTCACCAGCCCTGCAGCTACACAAAAGACAATCACAGTTCCGCCACAGTATCATCGTTCACCTCCACAAATCATACAAGCGCAGGTTCAGCACATACCACCGCCACCAGAACTGGCCGTATCACCAAATCCGGTGGTCACGTCACGCGGACAGCCAAAATCGCTTCTGGACTCGCAGGAGGAAATAGCTAAGGTAAACCATGGCCAAAAGACAGCAACGTGATCTCAAATGGTAATTATATATTTATATACCATACAGCTCTACGCTGAGGCACAAGAAACACTGCCACCAGTTGAAGAGGAGGAAAGCGATCGTCAGCAACGTGTTTATCGTGGCCAGCCGAGTACTGTTAGCCAAGTACAGCGGGACCGCGATGGCATCCTTCACCAGGCCAGCATAAATGCTATACCCAACCATGGAAAAATTGGGTCCTACACGTTCGGAACAGCTTACAGGTAAGTTATGTGCCATTTAACTTCCGCTCAAATGTAGTGCTTCATCTGCCGTCGCTTAAAAACTAAATTTATTGTCTATTGATGGTAATTTACTTTTTGTTTTATTTTCAAAAATGCATAACTGATTTTAAATTCTTTTCAACCCATTTTACCACTCTTTTTTCTTATACAATGCATACTGCACTATTTTTATATTTTACTGCAAACGACACAACAACCGACTGATTATGATTTTTGGCTTAACTCTGTACGCAAACAGCGAAAGCTTGGACGACGACGTGACAATCGAACATGAACTGTCACATAATCGACTTGATGTAGACAGACGACGCAAACGACGCGATGTTAGTGGGTTAATGTCAACTACGCCAGAAGAATCAGCTGCCTCTACTGAAATACCAAACGATTCAAATACCTCTAGCGAGGTAATGGAGCCCGATAGTGCCAACAGTACCCAACTGGGCAGTGGCGAAACGACGAATAATTCCAATAACTCGAATAACTCACAAGAGCAGTATGACGAGGCAGCGCCATTAGTCTCTCAACTGCAAAAGTACTCATCAAAAATCAGTCAATCTGAGATTGGCTTTCCTTATACGGACGCAGACTACAGTGAGCTTGTCGAAGACAACAATGATACGGTTACAGGAGAATCAAGGCGACGTGCTCGTCAATTGCGGCCCTTTCCGCATGCAGCTGTTAAATGGCCGGCGCATAGCTACCGATCCGCTGACACACCAGTTCAGCAGCCCTACATTCAAAAAAATAGCTACAGTTTTGGTAGCTTTAATCCCTATCTCACTCCACCAAGCCAGCAAGGTCACACCAATCAAAAATATAACAAACTAAACCCAGGTCCTGGATATAAGGCTTATCCCCAGCAGCCACAACAGCAGGAACCTGTTGCGTCATATGGAAAAAAACCAACTTTGGTCTACACAGGCTATAATTTGTCACTACCGCCGCCTCCGTTGGAAGATGACTTTCGACCCATTGCAGGTAACTACTATGGTGCAGCCAGCTCGACAAGCTCAAGGCCACCAGGTGGTTATCAAGAACAAACGAGCCAAGCCGATTTACTACCCTACCTTATACAACAGCTTAAAGAGCTCAAAGAACGCAGAAAACAAATACAAACTGAAAACTTTGCTTACTTTCATTTGGACAATCAACCTATTGCCCCTAGCGCGCACAGCACCACCCCACGGCCGTCATTCGAGTACTTTTCCACGACTAAGTCGACGCCCCAAGTAACGCCAAACAGCCACTATGCACAATACAGCACCATGGGTGGATTTTACAATAACAACCCGAATTATGTGCCAAGCACATCAAACTATTCTGGCAAACTGATATCTCAGTACAGCATTACTCAAAGTCCGGAGCCACAGAGCACGACAGAGAGCAATTACTTCCAATATAATATTATTGCGAATCAAAAGATGAAGGGCGTATACAATACTGCCCAGTTGAATCAAATAGAGAATGCCGCAGTAAAGGTGCGCCCACCGGTTACGCCACTACAGGTGACACCCAACTTTAATATTGTTTCGGCGCCTAATTTAGCTTACAACAAACCTAATGTCCTGCAGCAAATACCTTTCCGAGATTTGTCACATTTGCCAGTCGGAATCAGCTATGCTTCAAATACTACCATACCAGAATCGTATCAGACTTTTACCAAATCTATCAGCTCCACTGTGCCTCCCAAGCTGGACTCACGCAAGCCTCCGACAACTGCCAAGCCTCAGATGACAAATTTTCAGTTTAATATTAACGAATTTATGGCAAACTTAAAAGCTAGTGATCTGGCAAGTTTTAATCCGGCTGTAAACCCATTAATTAAGTATTTTAAGCAGGTAAGCAATGATGGAAGTGGCAATATTCGCAATGCCTTGATTCTTCGCAGACCCGTCAGCAGTTCGACGCCAACTAGCACAATAACAACCCGACCTCCTTTCAAATCCAATCCAACACCTACAAAAGCGTCGATTAGCTCAACTACTCAAGCGTCAACAACGCCTATTCTAAAAGGTTATAAGATTTTCGTAAAGAATACGCAAAATCAGATAAACAAACAAATAGCTGAACCAAATCAATCAACGACGACCAGCACACCACGACCACGGAGCAGTGGCAGCAGATCTACCACCACTCAGAGAACTGTCGAATACTACGACGAGGATTACGATGATGGAGTTGACGAAGACATGCTGCCACCGTCACGCATGCCCCCCTACATGCCCATGTCAGAGACAATGGCACCACCTCGTCCACAGGTCACAACTGTTGTACCTCCCACGACAAGGGCAAGCAAAATTCGCCCTAACGTACAAACAGGATTTATAGAAGCCACAACAACGCGCCGACCATTTCCAAATTTTTCACAACTCAATCAGCCCAACGCAGGCAATGGAGTTCCTGCGTTCATCAGCTTTCCAAGTGACATATTTCAAGAATTGAAGCAGCGACTACCACAATTGCAAGGATCAACAGCCGTCAACACTCAATCTACACTCCGCGTTCGCGTTACCAATACAACAAGCACTACAACGCCTACAACCCCAACAAGAATCCGATACACCGTGCGACCACAGCGCGTGCGCGGACAGCAGAAGTGGCAGGCCCAAGCTGTGAATAACCCTGACGGATTAGAACGCAAGCAAAATGAAACCGGCCGAGGGGCTGCCTACGCCAAGCCAGGTTCAAGCAATGTTGGTTTGGGCGGCCAGCACTTGAACTCGATACATATCAGCTCAAATACGGAAAGACAAAGGTAGTTATAAAAGTCGCGGAAAATATGCTGTTCAATTATTTGGTGCCGCTACACAAAAACACATAAATACGGCAGTTACATGTACATAATTATAAATATAAATGCCACTGCCCTTTAAGGCGCTACTGTTTATACGTTTACGTTCAGACCTTACCCATAACCAAGAAATCTAAACAGATGGAACTTACCAAAGATGTACAGTTGACTAAACAAATTTTTTAGGGACTGGGCCAATCTAACCTAAATTTCAACCGCTACTTAACTCATCCTTTATGACTAATACTTTAAACTACTAAACGATTCCACAAAATATAAAAACCACACAGATTTAATTATTTTTTGATTTCGTTTTGCATTTTTCTTCCCCTTGTAATATATGTAAATTACCATTGTCTTTACACACATACATATGTATTATATAATGACATCAATAATTTAAATTATTTAAATTATACTTGTTAATGTAAATAACTTGCGCCGCATACTCTTCCCACATAATTGTGTGTAAAGAGTTGAGTCATCTTCTCCGTCATCGCTGACGGCGCAAACTTCCGATAACATATTTCTACAACCAAGCTCACAAGCTTCGCCGTCACAGTTTGCATCCAATCGTAACTACTACAACACATCCATATTCAATCATGGGGGTGGCTACCAAACACCACAGCAGGCGCAACAACAACAACAACCGTCACCATTTCAACAACCGCAACAACAACAGCAACAGGCACCTGCCTTACCAGACCCCTATGATTCATCATACTATTCTGTTTACGACGACGATATTGATTTATATAGGGACATTGAGTATCAACAGCAGCAAGAACAGCATCAGCAAAAGTCCCAGCCATACCAGTCCACAGTGCGTCAACAACAGCAATCAACTTATAGACCGTTAGAAATATTGACTACGCCGACACCACCCCAAAGACCAAGCTACAGCAGCCAGCCCACTTTGAGTTATAATACGGACTATGATGAGGATCTCAATGCACAGGTAACCGTTTTTAATAATAAGAAGATGTTCGTTAATCTTGAAAATTAATTTTATAATCATGTTTAATAACTCATCGTTCATTCAACAGATCGAACAGGATAATGTGTACGATCAACCTACGCGAACTCCGCAACGGTAAGTAGTCTCTCGTTTGTAATCGCAATTCAAACTGAAATTCTGTAGCATCTTGTTAAAAACATTACATTTCATGCATCACAAGTTAATAAGCTCGCTGACAAATCTTACTTACAAACATTTCAAAATATTATGTAGCAAATCTATACAATGTTCTTGAGAAATTCAGCTTAATAGCTTTGAAAATACCATAAGTCCAGTTAGCTAGCGTATCCTTGAAAAGTACAAAAGTCATACAACACAAAAACAAGTACAACCACCACAACACCAAATGCATCAAAATTTACACACATTTTCATCTCTAAACTGCAACTGCTACACGTAAAGGCCTATCCAAGACAACCAACCTACAATAAATCTCTCTACCAGGGCCGAAGCGGTGACCATCCAAGCCCTGGACACGAGGGCAACTGCCTCGACGACTGCAAGACCAGCTGCTAGGCCTGATGGGCGCAACTACTACGACACAGTTACCACACCTATTACAAACTATGAAGAGACCGATTACAGCTATTCCAGCTCAGCAGAGTATGCCCAAAATTCACCCGCGGACTACTATCAAAGCGAGCAAACTCTAGTGAAGACTAGGCCAAACACTCAAGCTCCGAAATCAAAAAATACGGACGATTATTATCTGATTGCCAATGATGTCGCACATTCTACTTCAGCTCTTAAAGTAGATCCGACTAAGAAGTACACGACAATGACACCCACACGTCCTCCGATCTCAAAGTCATCTTCAGTACCAATCAGGAATACAAACAAGATTACCACAACTACAACACAAACAGTCACAAAGCCACCTGCAACCACTACAACAACAACAACTACATTGAACCCTTCCAGGTACTTTCTACTCCACAATTAGTCAAATGTCTTACTTCACTTATAGATACCTAGTTTTTCTAGGCTTTCTTTATAATAGCCTTTACTTGGCCCACCACTGCCTTATTGGCTTTTAGATGATAAATATTTATAAGCATCTCATTTCATCGAATCATATGATTTTCGATTACATCGATTACACATAGTTCCGAAATGCAATTCGAGTTGGCTTTACTATCACTTATTTATTTAAAAGCGCGTATAATTTCGTCAGTTATACTTTGCTGTTTATTTTATGCTACAACTTGGCTACATTTCACAATTACCCAGTTTTCTTTGTGTTCTTTGAAAGTGCAAAATTTTCAATAAGATACGAACGCTCAAATTCATTGCATGATCTTCATTCACAATATCACGTATGGTTGCGTATAATGTAGCAATTAGGTATTTCGCGTATGGCTTCGTGAAGTTCGCATGGCATGCGCTTTATAATATGATCTAGAGAAGTGATTCAGCAATTACTATTCCAATAATGAAAACCAAAAGATTCAGATATATCGTTATATTGTAAAAACATATACATACATACAAATCAAACTGGATATGATACTAACACTAATGTGATTGTTTATTATAAATACACATTTCTTCAACAGCTCAAAAACGCATGCAAATAAAAACCTTAAGCAAAATGTTATAATCAAATTAAAGACAACACCATCACCACGTACCACACAAGCACCCAGTACAAAAACCCCAACGACCAGCACAATAAAGCAACCGTCACTCCTCACATATGACTCCAATCCCTTTCTCAAATCCAAGCTACAATTTCTTGCCAAGTCCCTGATCAGTGCTGTGGCTGGCAGTCAAAGCCAAAATATCAATGACACAAGAACTCCGGCCCAAGTCCAATCTACAGTCACACCTGCAATCAGCGAATCGTGGGCGTTGGCAAATGACAGTGCAAATAGTAGTAGTACTCAAAAGTATGTTGAGACAATTTACGATGAAAGCCAGAATGTGCAGAATGTCCAAGGGGGAGAGATATCTAGTAGTCGTACTTTTGAAACAAGCACTTCGCCCAAGTTTCTGGATTTCATCAATGCCGCAGCTTATGGAGCCAGCAACTTAGTGCGCGCGCCCACAGAAAAGTCATTTAAGACTCTTTACACAAGGGAAAATATATACAACGGCCTTGAAAAAGACAAAGCAATATCCACCGAGCAAAATCAAAGCAAACGTATACAAAGCTATGTGCTCTCCGATGTTAAGCCCCAAAGCTTTAGGCCAACTACAAACAATTCGTCAAGGGCTGCGTCATCGGACCTGTTAGATAGCTCAAGTACAGCAAGACCCAACAAAGCATACGAGTATAGTCTGGAAAGCGGTTCTCATGGATTTACCTTAAGGGCTAAGGAATCGCTAAGCGAGGAGAACGTGTCTGAGCCACTGTTTGAACGCCCTGAAAGTGGGCAACGTCTTAAGCCCAGCACAACAACAACAACACGTTTGCCACTTACATTAGTCAATCATGTTAGCACGGAGAATGAAGATATTATACCAACAACGTATGCCCCGCTACGTATTTGGCGCAACGGCCGTCCAACTATTAAGCAAACACATAGGAAACCGACCAAAATGCCATTATTAAGCGTCACTGATCTGTCCAGCACTACTGCGAAAGCAACTACCACAACAATAAAAGCACCTAGTACTTTTAGTTCTAGTACCGAACGAGCGAGCTCTGGACAAAGTTTTACATCCCGTGCAAATATATTCAAGGATAACCTGAACCGTGCTACGAGCAACCCAGGAATGAGATTTGTTTCGCCCTATAAGAGCCTTGAAAGTTTGCTTCAAGACGAAAGGCTGCCACACAACAGCCTCAGAACAACAACAAGAACGCGCTATGCAAATGCTCCTGCCTCAATACCGTTTCTCCAAACAACGCCAAAGTCTACACACAATAGCTTTCCTACGAACATTATTCAAAACAATGCCACCCAAATTGTCCTTGAAACTATGACAAACGGCAATATGCGCAACTTTAGCATAAGTGATGTAATTCTAAGCACCTTCAGTCCTCAAAGACCAAGCATGCCGCGTGCTACTACAACAACCACTGCCAAAACCACAACCACAAATAAAATACCCACAGAGGCTGCGCTTACTACTACAATTTTAGAACCAACAGTAGCTACTGTAGTGACTTCGCCCTCAATCCAGGTGTCTGAAATCGCAGTGCGTGCACGTGGGCGGTCGCGGTACACGGCGGCTACGGTCAGCTATAATTTAGATAGTGTTGACGAGCCGACCACTTATGCCCCCAAATTTAAGATACCCAATAGCTATGAACTGAGGAGCTCCACATCTAAACCACTTTTAAGACGCAAAGCGCATCGTGGTCGAGCTGCTACCAGCCTCCGGCAAACAATATCCGAATCGACAGCTAAGTCCGGAGAAAAATATGAAACTTATAAAGCAGCTCAAAAGGCCAAAGAGACGGTTTATAGGTATCAAATAGCCCCAACCTCTGCAAAGCCGATAACTGCTGAGGATACAAGCTCACTGAAACGCAACCCAAATGAAAATGAAGCCTCAATCTCAGATATCCCGCGTGCAGAAGCCCTTATTGCACAGCAACCACTCAAAAATAAACATAACAATAGCATAGAACAGAGCATTAGCACAGAGACATCTGCCAGTTCTATCCAAGATGTTCATAATATATCCGACCGGCCACCTGTTAAGTATCTATATTCGAACAAATATCGGCAACAAACAGCGGAGCGTACACTGGCGGATAGTCTGCAGAATGCCGGGTACATAACGACGGCGAACGGACGAACCAAGTTTCGTGCTACCAACGTGCTGGAGCAGCTGCAACATTTTCTTTCCGCTAGCGACAGTGATGAGAGCGGGTCACCGCAATTCGTTGATGAAGTTTATGGTTCAGAAATAAAAGCTTCTGTTAATGAGATTATACCGGGCGTTTCAACAAGCCGTAGTGCAACGACTACAATGAGATCCACTACTGTCATGTCTGCATCACTGCCAACCACACGCGTCCCACTTTTTGCATTTAAGTCGACAGAAACCCCATCCAAATCATATACCCCAAGCCCTACTATTAGCATATTAGAAACAGATGCAAAAAAGGCTAACACTAGCATCCCAGATATTAGTACTGAACCTGTCCCTTCAACTACGAATGCCACTCCCTCTGTAACTATATCTTCTCCACCAACAACACGAGTTTCGAGGGTAAATAACGCCTTGAAGTCGTCAATTGCCGCTGCTGCCGCCCAATCATCTAGCCAGGTCTCTACCTCATCCACCTATCAAATGCCAGGGGGTAGAGCTAACAAATTCCAATATGGCCTTGCCTCCAACAGTAACAACAACCAACACCAATACAACAACAACAATGCCGCTGTCGCTGCTGTCTCGGTGAAGTGCTCCGATAGCACGCTGAGCCCTAAGTGCAACGAAATCCCCTCAAGGTATAAATAGCTAATTAACGCTCTGTAGTAGCTGTCACCTCTGCATTATCACTCTCCTGTCTTTTTATACAAATTCACCGTAATTTTGTTTTGAACACAGATATAGTCTCCTAAAACAAACCCAACAACTGTACTTTTATGTAGTTTTCTTTTCTCATTACCCACATTCACCCACTTTTGTAGAACTCTGGTTGTTTGTTGGCTTTCTAGTATGCCTTTAATCTTTATTAAATTAAACAACCAAACTGGCAAAACGTCTTAAATTTTTTCTGACCAATATAATGCCAAGATCCATTAAAACTACATAGTTTTCGCCTTGTACGTTTTCGTAAATTTTTAGTGCAAAGATACATAAATACTAAATATTAGCTGCTCTGTAAAATGTTGCAACAATGTACAAAACGGTGAGCATAAGTACGTAAACAAATCGTAACCGTTAGGTGGTGGCCAGTTTAACTCTTCATATATTTTTGTCTATTATTATTGTGATCTTTTCATTTTGATTTTATAATGCTATTATTGGCGCACTTTTTATTTTTATTTTTACGTAAACGATTATAATTAATACATACCGATAAAAATATGTATGTATGTACAAGTCACAATTATGTATAAACTGAAAAGACAAAATTTCAATTTGCAAATTATGATTTCACATATATATCATTTTGTCTCTAATGCGACGCATGTAAGTATATGGCTCGTAAATAAATAGCTAGATAACAAAATTTAAAAGACCACTAAAAGAGATTCATTACAGCTATAAAGTTATTATATTGATGTCGATCTGCATTTGCACATTTTACTGAGCTTTAATATAGTATTTCTGTTTCTAATTAGTGTTGAGAAGGGCGTGGAAGTTTTAAGCGGCTTTTGTAAATCTGCCCTAAAACTTCAAATATTTTCCGCATTAAACAAGTTAAGCATTTGTTCGAGCTAAGCCAAGCAGTTCCGCCCCCAAACATGCTACAGAAATTGTGAATCATGTTTTAAAGAAGTCATACAAAGTAAATTATTCATATTTTACAGCGGTCTACAAAGTAAATCAACATCAACTTTAATTATAATGTCTATTATTCTCAGCCTAGGTTTACAGCCCAATCCCGCTACACATACACATAAGTATACTATACATATCCGGTTCTCACTTTACATAATCGAATTGGCTGCTGATATGAAATGCTATTTTATTCACGTGTACATATACATATATATATATATATATACATATATATCAATACTTACCTACTTTTCAAATACATGGGTTACGCGAAGTTTTTACTAAATAACACTAACTAAGCACATAAATAATCTTAACTTAAACTTTTTTGTGTAACAATAGCATATAAAATAATTGGTTGGCAACCCGCACAATTAAAACTATTTACTGTTTAAACACTTTTTTAAACAATTTTTAAATATTTTTAATGCAATAAAATTTAGAAACAACAATAGAAACCGTGGCAGTTCAATATACACGAATCAGGATCGTGAAACTGCTGCCACTCCCAACAGAGGGACTCATCCACCGTAAGTACCTTGGATCCTCAAATAAATGAAACATTTTACAAATGGTGAACACCCACAGGCGGACGCGTCCAACGCTTAAGCCGGCTGGCACAATAGTCTCAAAGGCTCAAGAGTTTGTGGACATATACAGATATCCGCCTTCCCGACCGGATCCACTGTACCCACAGCCTACGCCGGATAAGACGGCTGCCAAGTGCCGTAAAGATGTTTGTTTACTACCTGATTGCTATTGCGGAGGCAAGGATATACCCGGTGAGTACTAATTAACTGATTAGCTAGATCGTTGACTACTAATATATTAGACAAGTCGAAGCTAGCTTGGTACTTTTTACCTATTTGGCTATGTAAAATGTCTTAAAAATAAATTCACTGCCTAACAAAACATAGGAGGTTTGAATGTGTCGGACACCCCACAAATTGTTTTAATTACGTTTGATGATGCCATCAGCACAATTAATATTGATCTGTATGATGAGTTATTTAATAACAAGTCACGCAAGAACCCCAACGGATGTCCTTTGCGTGCCACTTTCTACTTATCCCATGAATGGACGGATTATGGCATGGTCCAGGATTTGTACTCTGATGGACATGAAATGGCCTCGCATACGGTTTCGTAAGTTGCGATTATCTTTCGCTTCTGTCAGGTCATTTTAACCTAAGAGACATCAACTACATGCGGCAATCATAGTCTTTTATCTCCTTGCCTCTATGTATCTGCTTGGTTTATATTCATGTCATGAACTTTATATTTTTCTCTACATTCCATCACCCACCACTTCATCAATATTGTCGTCATGATTGCTAGGCGAACTACCGGTTGAAAGCATACCTCAAATCGTACTGTTGACCTTCGATGATTCCGTAAATGATTTAAATAAACAATTGTATACGGATCTTTTTGAGAAGGGACGTGTCAACCCTAATGGCTGCCCCATAACAGCGACCTTCTATGTCTCTCACGAATGGACTGATTATAGTCAAGTGCAGAATCTTTACGCCGATGGACATGAAATGGCATCGCACACAGTTTCGTAAGTAGCAGACTCTCAGAAGCTGAGACAAACACACACGGCGACATAACACAAACACGAAGAACACCAACAAAACGTAGTAAACTTGAAAGGCAACCTATGAAACACTTCTAAAATGTCCCAGTTCCATACTCACAGACATCAGACATCAAATCGCCATGGTTCTTTTCTAAATCTTACTTTTAAAAATAGCTAGTCAAAATTTGATTACTTTTTTCGTCCACAGTCACAGCTTTGGTGAGCAGTTCTCACAAAAGAAATGGACTCGGGAAATAGCTGGTCAACGCGAAATACTCGCTGCCTATGGTGGCGTCAAGCTATCTGACGTAAGGGGTATGCGTGCTCCTTTCCTCTCAGTTGGTGGTAACAAAATGTACAAAATGCTGTATGACTCAAATTTCACCTACGACTCGTCGATGCCGGTCTATGAAAATCGACCACCCTCGTGGCCGTACACTCTTGACTATAAGATCTTCCACGATTGTATGATACCGCCCTGTCCGACACGAAGCTATCCGGGGGTTTGGCAAGTACCCATGGTCATGTGGCAGGACTTGAACGGCGGACGCTGCTCTATGGGAGATGCCTGCTCAAATCCAAGTGATTCAGAGGGTGTAACCAAAATGATTATGAAGAATTTCGAGCGTCATTATACCACCAATAGGTAAAGAGGCAAGATTTTTAATAATACACCTAGATGTTAAGGAATACTATTTAATACAGGGCACCCTTTGGATTGTTTTATCATGCCGCTTGGTTTACGCAACCGCATCACAAGGAAGGGTTTATAAAGTTCCTCGATGCCATAAACGCCATGCAGGATGTTTGGATCATAACAAATTGGCAGGCTCTACAATGGGTGCGCGATCCAACACCTACGTCTAGGATAAACTCGTTCCAGCCATTCCAGTGTGATTACTCGGTAAGTGTTAATCTTTACACTAGTACAAATACGCGTGTCTATTTAAAACCCTTTATGAAACTTACATTTATAACATTTATTTATTTAGGACCGACCCAAACGTTGCAATAATCCAAAAGTCTGCAATCTGTGGCACAAATCTGGAGTTCGATATATGAAAACATGCCAGCCCTGCCCCGACATCTACCCATGGACTGGAAAATCCGGCATACGTTCATCACGCATCGACAACGAAGTTGAAGAACCTTCGGCGCAAAACTGAGGATTCTCAATCTAGACATGCCAGTTAAACCACGCCTATGCTATTAGTAAACTACTGTTCGTCTTGATGTGAGCTTTATACACAGAGGAACAATTGGAATGCAATAGTAGATATTGTCATAAGTAATAGCCCAAAATACGGTATTCACTCGTTGATATGTTCTTCATATTATATTTATACTATAGCCAATTTGTTGAAGGGCATGAAAAAATGTATTTAATATTTTGATGACATGTTACTTAAATTTATTTATTCCCTTATGATAGACTTATGTATGTGTACTGTATATTCCTATAGTTTGCTACTCCCATGGAAATTTGTATAAGTACTTTCAAAATGCAATATTAGTATAATACCTTGTACATGTAAAAGTTACTAACGTAATTGTAGATTTCCATTTAAATTTAAAAAATGAAAAGCGCGTGGTTCAGGACATTATGAAACTGAGGGGCAATACTCTTTTTTGTGGTTGATTTAATTTGTGATACATATTTTTTCATCTAAATATGTGTCTCTAAATATGCCAATAATTATCTGAAACCAGGCAGTAAATAATTATAACATTTTAATAAGCAAATGTGTCTAAGCATGTTTTTTATGTTCAACCTTGTATATAACATTTTAATTAGAATCCGGTGAAGGGGCCTAATACTCTTGGATATATTTATCACTCTATATTTCCTAACTATGATTTAATTTCAAGAAAATTCTTATCATACTATAATAAAACTAAAGATTTTATGTGCTTTCCATGATACAATATCAAGAGCTCAAAAAATCATATGAATATATATAATATTATTTCTGAATTTATAACATTTCTCGCTTCATTTTAGTTTAAAGCATGATTTTATATCATTTTGACTAACGGTACTATTAAAGAGCTTAAAATATATGAATTTACGTCATGAACAGACTTTTTTTAGGCACCTAATGAAATTAATACTCCAATTAATGACACATTTGTAACGGGAGCTGCAGAAAAAAAAATCAAATCATAACGTCAGACATCGTAAATCCATGTAAAGTTTTAAGCAACATGCGAGCCTAGCAAATATTTTAACATTTAAGCTGTTAGTACTCATACGAAAGTATTAGATGGATTTGTAATGCTGCAAACTCAAAATGAAAAATCATTAAGATAAATTAATATTTAATTTAAGTATATTGTATGTATGTGCACACATAAAAAATTGTAAAGCTGAACGCAGTTCAAAAAATTTAATAATACCAACGAGTGAATTATGTATTTTGTGCTAATAATTGTAAAACATGTAAAATAAAAAAACCAACGTAAGTCAGATAAATATGCATTTTAAATTTGCAATCGATAAAACAAATATCTCTGTATATAAATCTGTTTGTCCTGAAAAAAAGATATTCGGGTCTCTGTTTGCCCTCTAGATCAATTTGACATCAAAGTTTGGCAACTCTATTATTTGTCAAAATGCACGGTCAAATCTCATCCGATTTTCATGAGGTTTGCCTTTTTGTTCATGGTTTGGTCACTTCATCAATTTGGCATCTAAATCTGGCAACCCTATTCTTGGTCAAAATTCATGTGAAAATGGTACCCTCAAATATCCTACACAGGCATAGGTCAATATTTCCCACCGCCATAACTCGGTCAAAACTCAACCTATTTTCATAAAGTATGGATTTTTCTTCAGGGCTTGGCCTCTAAATCAATTTGACATACAAGTCTTGCAACTCTATTCTTGATCAAAATTCATATCGAAATGGTACCCTCTCATATACCATATATAGATTCATGTGAAAATGGTACAATCAAATAAAGTATACAGACATAGGTTAAACTTTTTCAGCCCCATAACTTGGTCAAATCTCATCCGATTTTCACGAGGTTTGGCTATTTGATAATGTTTGAAAATGGTACCCTCAAACACCCTAAACAGACACAGGTCAATATTTCCCATCCCCATAACTAGGTCAAAACTCAACCGACTTTTATAAAGTTTGGATTTTTCTTCTTAGTTTTGCCTCTTAATCAATTTGAAATTTAAATCTGGCAACCCTATTCTTGGCCAAAATTCATGTGAAAATGTTACCCTCAAAAACCTCAAAAACCCTACACAGACAAAGGTCAATATTTCCTACCCCCATAACTCGGTCAAAAAACAACCGATTTTCAAAAAGCTCGGATTTTTCTACAGGGTTTGGCCTCTAAATCCATTTGACATCTTAAAATTACAAACGTATTCTTGGTCAAAATTCATGTGAAAATGGTACCCTCATATACCATACACAGACATAAGTCAATATTTCCCATCCCCATAACTCGGTCAGAATTCAACCGATTTTCAAAAAGTTTGGATTTTTCTCCAAGGTTTGGCCTCTAAATCAATTTGACATCTAAATATGACAACCCTATTCTTGGTCAAAATTCATGTGAAAATGGTACCCTCATATACCATACACAGACATAAGTCAATATTTCCCACCCCTATAACTCGGTCAAAACTTAACCGATTTTTTGAAGTTTGGATTTTTCTTATTGGTTTTGCATATTTATCAATTTGACATTTAAATCTGGCAACCATATTCTTGGCCAAAATTCATGTGAAAATGGTACCCTCAAAAACCTCAAAACCATTTGACATCTAAATATGACAACCCTATTCTTGGTCAAAATTCATGTGAAAACGGTACCCTCAAACACCCTACACGGACATAGGTCAATATTTCCCATCCCCATAACTCGGTCAAAGCTCAACCGATTTTTATAAAGTTTGGATTTTTCTTCTTGGTTTTGCCTCTTAATCAATTTGACATTTAAATTTGGCAACCCGATTTTTGGCCAAAATACATGTGAAAATGGTACCCTCAAAAACCTCAAAAACCCTACACAGACATAGGTCAATATTTCCCATCCCCATAACTCGGTCAGAATTCAACCGATTTTCAAAAAGTTTGGATTTTTCTCCAAGGTTTGGCCTCTAAATCAATTTGACATCTTAAAATTACAAACCTATTCTTGGTCAAAATTCATGTGAAAATGGTACCCTCATATACCATACACAGACATAAGTCAATATTTCCCACCCCCATAACTTGGTCAAAACTCAACCGATTTTTATAAAGTCTGGATTTTTCTTCTTGGTTTTGTATATTTATCAATTTGACATTTAAATCTGGCAACCATATTCTTGGCCAATATTCATGTGAAAATGGTACCCTCAAAAACCTCAAAACCCTACACAGACAAAGGTCAATATTTCCTACCCCCATAACTCGGTCAAAAAACAACCGATTTTCAAAAAGTTCGGATTTTTCTCCAAGGTTTGGCCTCTAAATCCATATGACATCTAAATATGACAACCCTATTCTTGGTCAAAATTCATGTGAAAACGGTACCCTCAAACACCCTACACGGACATAGATCAATATTTCCCATCCCCATAACTCGGTCAAAACTCAACCGATTTTTATAAAGTTTGGATTTTTCTTCTTGGTTTTGCCTCTTAATCAATTTGACATTTAAATCTGGCAACCCTATTCTTGGCCAAAATTCATGTGAAAATGGTACCCTCAAAAACCTCAAAAACCCTACACAGGTAAAGGTCAATATTTCCTACCCCCATAACTCGGTCAAAAAGCAACCGATTTTCAAAAAGTTCGGATTTTTCTCCAAGGTTTGGCCTCTAAATCCATTTGACATCTAAATATGACAACCCTATTCTTGGTCAAAATTCATGTGAAAACGGTACCCTCAAACACCCTACACGGACATAGGTCAATATTTCCCATCCCCATAACTCGGTCAAAACTCAACCGATTTTTATAAAGTTTGGATTTTTCTTCTTGCTTTTGCCTCTTAATCAATTTGACATTTAAATTTGGCAACCCGATTTTTGGCCAAAATACATGTGAAAATGGTACCCTCAAAAACCTCAAAAACCCTACACAGACATAGGTCAATATTTCCCATCCCCATAACTCGGTCAGAATTCAACCGATTTTCAAAAAGTTTGGATTTTTCTCCAAGGTTTGGCCTCTAAATCAATTTGACATCTTAAAATTACAAACCTATTCTTGGTCAAAATTCATGTGAAAATGGTACCCTCATATACCATACGCAGACATAAGTCAATATTTCCCACCCCTATAACTCGGTCAAAACTTAACCGATTTTTATGAAGTTTGGATTTTTCTTATTGGTTTTGCATATTTATCAATTTGACATTTAAATCTGGCAACCATATTCTTGGCCAAAATTCATGTGAAAATGGTACCCTCAAATATCCTACACAGACATAGGTTAATATTTCCCATCCCCATAACTCGGTCAGAATTCAACCGATTTTCAAAAAGTTTGGATTTTTCTCCAAGGTTTAGCCTCTAAATCAATTTGACATCTTAAAATTACAAACCTATTCTTGGTCAAAATTCATGTGAAAATGGTACCCTCATATACCATACACAGACATAAGTCAATATTTCCCACCCCCATAACTTGGTCAAAACTCAACCGATTTTTATAAAGTCTGGATTTTTCTTCTTGGTTTTGCATATTTATCAATTTGACATTTAAATCTGGCAACCATATTCTTGGCCAATATTCATGTGAAAATGGTACCCTCAAAAACCTCAAAACCCTACACAGACAAAGGTCAATATTTCCTACCCCCATAACTCGGTCAAAAAACAATCGATTTTCAAAAAGTTCGGATTTTTCTCCAAGGTTTGGCCTCTAAATCCATTTGACATCTAAATATGACAACCCTATTCTTGGTCAAAATTCATGTGAAAACGGTACCCTCAAACACCCTACACGGACATAGGTCAATATTTCGCATCCCCATAACTCGGTCAAAACTCAACCGATTTTTATAAAGTTTGGATTTTTCTTCTTGGTTTTGCCTCTTAATCAATTTGAAATTTAAATCTGGCAACCCTATTCTTGGCCAAAATTCATGTGAAAATGGTACCCTCAAAAACCTCAAAAACCCTACACAGGCAAAGGTCAATATTTCCTACCCCCATAACTCGGTCAAAAAACAACCGATTTTCAAAAAGTTCGGATTTTTCTCCAAGGTTTGGCCTCTAAATCCATTTGACATCTAAATATGACAACCCTATTCTTGGTCAAAATTCATGTGAAAACGGTACCCTCAAACACCCTACACGGACATAGGTCAATATTTCCCATCCCCATAACTCGGTCAAAACTCAACCGATTTGTTATAAAGTTTGGATTTTTCTTCTTGCTTTTGCCTCTTAATCAATTTGACATTTAAATTTGGCAACCCGATTTTTGGCCAAAATACATGTGAAAATGGTACCCTCAAAAACCCTACACAGACATAGGTCAATATTTCCCATCCCCATAACTCGGTCAGAATTCAACCGATTTTCAAAAAGTTTGGATTTTTCTCCAAGGTTTGGCCTCTAAATCAATTTGACATCTTAAAATTACAAACCTATTCTTGGTCAAAATTCATGTGAAAATGGTACCCTCATATACCATACACAGACATAAGTCAATATTTCCCACCCCTATAACTCGGTCAAAACTTAACCGATTTTTATAAAGTTTGGATTTTTCTTATTGGTTTTGCATATTTATCAATTTGACATTTAAATCTGGCAACCATATTCTTGGCCAAAATTCATGTGAAAATGGTACCCTCAAAAACCTCAAAACCATTTGACATCTAAATATGACAACCCTATTCTTGGTCAAAATTCATGTGAAAACGGTACCCTCAAACACCCTACACGGACATAGGTCAATATTTCCCATCCCCATAACTCGGTCAAAGCTCAACCGATTTTTATAAAGTTTGGATTTTTCTTCTTGGTTTTGCCTCTTAATCAATTTGACATTTAAATTTGGCAACCCTATTTTTGGCCAAAATACATGTGAAAATGGTACCCTCAAATATCCTACACAGACATAGGTTAATATTTCCCATCCCCATAACTCGGTCAGAATTCAACCGATTTTCAAAAAGTTTGGATTTTTCTCCAAGGTTTGGCCTCTAAATCAATTTGACATCTTAAAATTACAAACCTATTCTTGGTCAAAATTCATGTGAAAATGGTACCCTCATATACCATACACAGACATAAGTCAATATTTCCCATCCCCATAACTCGGTCAAAACTCAACCGATTTTTATAAAGTCTGGATTTTTCTTCTTGGTTTTGCCTCTTAATCAATTTGACATTTAAATTTGGCAACCCTATTTTTGGCCAAAATACATGTGAAAATGGTACCCTCAAAAACCTCAAAACCCTACACAGACAAAGGTCAATATTTCCTA